CGCCTTCCTGCTCAACATTTCCTCCTTCAACACCAACAAGGTTGCCGGTGCCCTGACCATGACGGTCTGCGGCAACCTTAAGCAATGTCTCACTGTTCTCCTCGGCATCTTCCTCTTCAACGTCACCATCGAATGGCTCAACGGCTTCGGAATGGGCGTCACCATGATTGGTGCCGCCATCTACAGCAAGTCGGAGCTGGACAACAAGTTGAAGAAGCAGCAAGCCCAGTACAAGCCCGTTGCCCAGAGCACCTGATGGCGCTCTCTCGTTCTCTCCTACCACGGTTTCAACCCAATGATAAATCACATGGAAGGTCAATCACTATTATGACTAGGTGTGGACCTTTCCTTTAACGGCCGATCTAGAAATAATACCCAATTTTTGTTTGTTTAAGCGGCCAATTGGCTACCTCGCATTCCTAGAAGGGCGGCAATGGTCACGGTTTATGGCGTTTTTTTGGACATACGGGATATTCTTACATACTTTTGACGGGTAGATAGCAACAGGGTCTGTGCTATCCCAGTCACCAGCAATAGATATATATGTTAACTTAATTACATCGCTACGGTTATATTGTACTCGCTGGTGATCTCGCAAGGTGAAGTTTCTATGGGCAGCGCCAACAGCAGACTTGATTGAATTAAGTACGGTAAACCCGCGACAATTACATGTTTTTGATTTTTAGTACCCTCGATTACCTACACTAAGATCAAAAACGCCATGCTATGCAGAAAAACATAAAGAGGGGAACGCAGGACGGTACAGGTTCCAGCTCCGCCTCGAGGTTGCCCTCAACTACTCCTGCTCTATTCTCCTCGCCCCGTTCTGTCTCCCCAACCCGTCGCAGGGATCATATACTAAGCAACCAAGGAATTGGTCAGAAGAACCACCCCAACGCAGCCCCCACCTCGTGTTAAGACAGGCCCCTAAACATCTCACCTGTCGCGTAACGAGTCCGTGGAGGAAGTGGCACATGACTGACCCTGCTGTTTGAGATCTCTGATGCTCCCGGTGATGTCGGCCAGGGTCGCGTTGGGGGTGAGGCCCAGCGCCTTGGCGAGCACCTCGAGATCGCTGGGGCTGTCGGTGCTGGCGTGGTCGGGGTCCCGGCTGGTGGTGAGGAGCCGCGGGGCTTGCACGAGGCCCAGCTCGTCGCTTCGCGCGTGGGCGGCGGCGAGCGCTGCCGCAGCCGAGTTCTTCTTGTTCTGGCTGGTGTGGAGGAGGGCGAAGCGGAGGCCGACCTCTGTGACGGATACGAGGATGCTGAGGACGATGAGGACGATGACGATCCAGGTGATTACGCTCATCTTGGTGTGATTGATGGAGTCGGAGAGGATCTCGGCCAGGTCGAGGAACACGCGGCATCGCTCGTTGAGGACCTTGATCCGGGGGTCGATCTCGAGATACTCCCTGATGGCGGCGTACAGTGGGTGGAGGGTGGGCTCCGAGTCCCAGAAGAAATTGGGGACGTCAAGAATGTTAGATGCTGGGGCAAGGGAACCGTGGTTAGCGCAGTGTCAATATACGTGGGAGATGCAAAAAAAAACGTACAGAGATTGATATCTACCCGACTCTTAAACAACCGCCCTAAAATCTTGACGATTTCAGTCCTCGTCATGTTGAGCTCGCCTGTCAGAGCGAGGGTTTTGGGTACGTGCTGGGCATCCAGCATTGTCTCGCTCATCCGCTCCTCGAAAAAGCACAGCTTTGTGCTCTGGGCGATGGCGTGGCTGATGGTGAGCTTGATCATGTGGTCGGAGCGCGGCATGAGTGTGATCATGTCGTTGAACACCCGCGGCCGTTTCACATCTGCACTGTATTCAAAGTGAAACTCCTCCGTCTCATAGTCGTCCTGCTCGAGCGGTCGTGTCAGGAGACTGATACCGTCTTCGGCATCAGCAAAGGTCAGATCGGCGAGGATGTCCTTCTCTTGATGCTCTGAAAAGTTCCAAAAGACGACCACACCATATGAGAAGATGAATATCTCCGCGAAGTTCTTGGTCTCAGGAGCTAGCCTATTGAAAGGAGACATATGCTCGTCAGGGTGGTGAAAGGGGTCTTCAGGGACATCCCGGTAGGATGAGTCGCTGTGAGGCTGATGATGGGGACTTCCAGGGTTTGTGTAGGCATCCTCGTCGAAGTAGCCCTCGTAATGGTCCCTCCGCTCGCTCCTCTCAATTTCAAAGTCCAGAACTGTTTTCCCGGTGCCTGGTGTTTTGAGGATAGGTCGGCTACGCACGCGATAGCCTTCGGTGCCATTCAACAGTGGTAGGGAGTAGATGGCATAGAGACAATCATCGTATCTCTTTGTTTTAACATCGTGCTTCTTCCTCAGGAACTCGGCTGTAGAAGTCACCTTGAAGGCCTGCGCGGTGCAGTATGCAGTCAGCCTGCTAACCTTTTCTGCTCTCTGCACTTTGGGCAGCCTCTCGGCGTAGCTCTTCCCTCGCACTCCTCCCCTCAGTCGTAGAACATCCAGCTCTTCATTGCTCAGTGGGCGATTTTCCTCACTCTGCAATCTCCGTGCCAGGACTGCTTCACTCTCGACCTCTTCGTCCGCATCCTCCTTGTCGTCTGTCTCGGGGAGCAGTACAAGCTTCTCGCTAATCTTGGTCGTACGGGAGGGCATAGGCTGGCCTGTTCTGGTTTGGATGCTCCCGATACTACCAGATGGGATGCGACGGCCTGGAACGGTGCCTCCGGGCGCTATTGGGCCCCTCTGAGGCGGCAACGGGGGCTGACGGGGCTGGCCTGAAGGGATTTGTGTGTTGAATTGAAGGACATTGTCTACGGTCATGAACCGCATCGGATTTCGACCCTGCGCCGCTGATGATGTGTCCTGTCTCTGGAGCGATTTGCGCGGGTTCGGCCTCTGTCTCGCGTCGGTTACCTGGTTTCAATTTCTGTCAGCGTTGGCCTGGATGCATCTGGATCTTGAACGACCGCGTCCATACCAGAACCGAAGGGCGCTGCTTTGAAGACGACATGACGATGGCTTTCTGGCGCAACCAAGCCCAAGGGCCCAGTCAAGGGAATGTCGCTCAAAAGATATGTGTTCCAATTGAGGGGGCGATTTATCCGGTGGTGGTCCTGAGGCGGGCATGCAGGTAATCCTCTTGATGCTTGCTTTAGAATTTACCATGTATGGTCTTGGATAATGATCAAGATCAATCGATGGCGGATGAGTGACCTGGAGCTTGGACCAACTGCAGCCAATTACGCGGGCAAAGCTCCATGACCTCATGCTTTCGCCGAAACCCCACTGCCCAGAAATTCGATCCACTGGAAATATGTAGGTTATTTATTTGTTTACTTTTATGGCCTCATTGCAATGATAATTCTTCGCACAATCCTGCCCATGCCGACGGACTGGCCAGAACACCGTACAAGTCGGACCATCACGTGTAAATTTGATCCCTCGTTCGACCTAACTTTATTATATAAACGTTTCCTTCCAAACTTCAAAGCACGTCCCCAATTCTGGCACCGAGCCATTGCAGTTCCTGGGTTTCTAAGACAACATCGTGTTCTCCTGGTCCTGGTGCTTGAAGGAAAAGCTCTTGGAACTCCAGTCGTAGTGCACCACTACCACTATTGACTATATACAACCCAAAGAGATTGGCATTTGTACTGGCGGTGTCTCTTTCAATGGTAATGGCTTGTGTGAGCTGTAGATCTAAGTGAGTAGCTCCAGCTTGTTCTGGAAGTTGACCTTATTGCCATTTTTCAATAAGGATCCTTGATGGGGGACAGTTGGTGGATTCATCGATGTTACACCTTGTGAGGCTGGGTAGAATGTGTGAAAAGAAGACGTCAACTAACACAGAGAGAAGTCTTTAAATACTAACGCACACAGAGGACTAGTCAAACCGTATCAGGATAATTAGATGCCTACCTCCATATATAAATTAAAGTGCAAAGTAAATTCTCGGGTCTAGTACAAATTCTACCGCATATGCTAAACGCTGTGGCTTCCAGAGGCTCAAACAGATAGGTGATTTTGAACCTAGCGTAACGCCCAAAATATCTTCAAATCAGTGACCAAGCATCTTCTATGATATCTAACTATTACTCTATTTGACAGCAGGTTTTAACGATACTAGATAAAGCATATGCATCTATGGTCTCGTATGATATTGATAATTCATTGAGAATTGGAGCGACGTGGGAGCTGAGCACTCGTGGAAGAACAAAACCCCATCTCCGGGTCTAGGGTAGCAAAGGGTGATGAAAGTGGTACTAGTTGAATTTCGACAGCATATCAAAACAATTCCCAGTAATAAACACAATGTCAAGGCTAAACGTCATAGGATAGTGTGTTATTGTACCAGTAAAATTATTAATGAGACAACGGGGTCTCTACCTGACGTGAAAAGAGTGCCATGTTTTATCTCAGTCGCTTGGGTAGCCCGGCTTCCGATGCTGGAGTGGGCCTTCGAGGACAACGAGCAGCCAATCAGAGGCGGAGCTAGGCGTAGGTTGCTATGTCGTTGTCCCGGATCATTTGTTTACTTCATGTGTCACTCACCGCAGCATCGTATTGCCTGGCTGCTGGGCCCCGCTCGTCTTTTTCAGGTTAAGTTGACATCAGGTGTGTATCGCGGCAGCGAACAGACCCGGCCATCAAGCTCGTTCTCCCTTTTCTGCAACTTCCCTTCCTGTGCCTGTTTGTCTACACACCGGCACTTCGAGCCTGAGCTTCGGTCTGGTATCGCGAAGCCAGCTTCATACCTCTGGACTTGCAACCTATGGTCCATCTTTATTTCGATTCTTCTCCCAAGCATATGTCTTAGACTCTCCTGCCCGGTCTTCTTGCAAGCTATCAATTTCTACCGATTAATTATATCTTGCCGACATTCCAGCACTGCCAAGCACCTTTCACTGGCTGAAATGATGCACTGAACGCACGGGTCCCAAAGAAACGAAAATTCGGAGAAGCAAACGTGAAGATCGAATCACAAGTCTAGGGGTCAGATCAACGCCTGAGCGACAGCCAAAAATGTCGTTCCGGCCTAACCTTCGTCATTCGCATACCGTTGATGTCACCTTCGACAACCCCAACAGCGCAATCGCCCGCCAGGCCTCAACTACTTCTTCATCAGCCTCTTCCGGTTACTCCAACGCATCCGACCACAGCAGCAGCACCTCATATACTTCAGCCTCGAGCGGGTACGGTTCTTACGGTCATAAGCGCGGACGGAGCGATGTGCTAGCACGCGCTCGCACCTTCGAAGTCGGAGAGATGAATACCAAAAAGACCGACCCGACCAATCTATACAGCTCTGCTCGCCAGTCGCTCCGTCCCCTGCCCCAAGCGCCAGCCGCGGCTCCGGCATCGTCACCGTCTGCCCCAAGCACGCCACCGCATAAGCAGCAGCGCCATGATCGTGGGAAAAGCGTCGATATTGGCAAGCTGGCCATGTCACACAGTGATGGGCCTTCGTCGCCAAATTCGCCCTCTCGACACGGCAATGTGCGACCAAATTCTATGCTGCTGTCCCGCTCCGACTCAATGAGCGTCAGGGCCGGCGCTGGGACTCAATCGAGCCATCATCATAGCCTTAGCACCACACATATCGGCCGTCCAGACCTCGAAAAACTCGGCCGTTCAACGACTAGCCAACTGAGAACACTCTCCCGCCTTACTGAGTCCGAAGCCGTTGATGGCTTCAACGTTACCTCGCCGGCGCAAGAAGTCGTTGGTCTCCGCGGTCGACGACGTTTGCAGCGGGCAGACAAGCCAAATGGCGCCCGCGGCCCAAAGCAAGGCAATTATGGCTGGGAAAGCAGCAAATGGATAGACAAGCAACGTCAGTTTCTTCAAGCCTACGAATATCTTTGCCATATCGGTGAGGCCAAAGAATGGATCGAGGACGTCACACACAAGACGCTTCCGCCCATTGTTGAACTCGAGGAGGCTCTACGAGACGGCGTCACCCTCGCACAGGTTGTTGAAGCCCTCAACCCCAACAAACATTTCCGGATATTCCATCACCCGCGCCTTCAGTACCGACACTCCGACAACATTGCGATTTTCTTCCGATACCTAGATGAAGTAGAGCTCCCCGACCTCTTCCGGTTCGAGCTCATCGATCTTTATGAGAAAAAGAATATCCCCAAAGTAATTTATTGTATCCATGCACTGAGTTGGCTGCTATTTCGACTTGGTATTGTAGATTTCCGTATAGGAAACCTGGTTGGGCAGCTGGAATTCGAACACCATGAGCTGGAGGAAATGCAGAAAGGCCTTGATAAGCTGGGCATTAACATGCCGACCTTCGGCGATATGGGTGCAGATTTTGGCGTGCCAGAGCCAGAACCTGAGCCGCAAGAGACGGAAGAGGAAAGAATTGACCGAGAGCTGGCCGAAAATGAGGCCTCTATAGCTGATTTCCAAGCGCAAGTCCGAGGAGCAATGATGCGACTGAAACTCGGCGAGACTATGCAGCAGCTCTGGGATCAGGAAGAGTTTCTGATTGACCTCCAATCGCGCATTCGAGGTGACTTTACTCGCCAGATCATGGGTTACCGACTTCAGATGAGGCGATTTGCCACCCAACTGCAGAGTGCTTCCCGCGGATTTCTGTTGAGACGGAGGCTGGAGAAGACTGATCAGTTCTGGAAGGCTGTCGAGCCAGCTATCCTGGAGCTCCAAAGCATGGTCAGGGCGAAGAAAGCCCGCCACGAGGCACGGGAGGCACGATCTACTCTGGCCACCTGCGGAGGGCCAATAAGAGAGATCCAGGCAGTCTCCAGGGGGTTCTTGTTCCGCAAAAAGCTCGTCGCTCAACATAAAGAAACTAAAAAGAGCTCTGGTGAGGTACAAAGACTGCAGGCAGCCGTTAGGGGAATGCTTGTTCGAGAAAGCCTCAACCAAGATCGTCAACTGCTGCATGCTGAATCGCCTTCGATTGTTAGCCTCCAAGCTGCACTCCGGGCACAGCAGCTGAGACAGCGAATTGAGATCCAAAAGGAGCATCTCCAGGCTGCAGCCCCCATGTTCACCAAGATCCAGGCCTTTGCACGCGGCCTTGCGTCTCGGGCTGAGACAAAGGCTTTGCGTCAAGAGTTGAAGAAGCATCAGGCCGAGGTCACCCGACTTCAGGCCATCGTCAGAGCCGGGGTTGTACGGAAAAACGTGAATGCAGATCTTGATGCTTTGGAGCAGAACTCGGAAGAAATTGTTTCGCTCCAGTCCATGATCCGGGGTCTGTTCGTTCGGGAACAGATTCTTGCAGACAGAGCCGAGCTGGATAGCCACGTCTCTAAGACGGTCGAGTTACAAGCCGGTATTCGTGGCTTCTTGTACAGACGTCAGCATTCCGCCTTGCTTGAGGAACTGGATTCTCACTATGATAAGATCGCAGCATTCCAGGCCATCCTGAGAGGTATCATGGAACGGGGAAGAGTCGGAGATTTGGTTGCAGAGTTAGAGGAAGAGGAGGAATCAATCGTTGCGGCCCAGTCTGCCATCAAGGGCTTCCTCGTTCGAGCCCGGTTTGAAGAAAAGCGACGATTCTTCAACGAGAACATGCAAAAGGTGGTCAAGATTCAGAGTTTTATCCGTGCCAAGGTCCAGGGAGAGGCATACAAGAGTCTTACCACAGGGAAGAACCCCCCAGTCGGCGCTGTCAAGAACTTTGTTCACCTTTTAAACGATAGCGATTTCGATTTCAACGAAGAGGTCGAATTTGAGCGCATGCGCAAGACGGTCGTTCAGCAAGTTCGCCAGAACGAAATGCTGGAGCAATACATCGACCAACTTGATATTAAGATCGCGCTACTGGTCAAGAACAAGATCACTCTTGACGAAGTAGTACGGCACCAACATAACTTCGGAGGCCACACCGTGGGTCTGCTGGCCAACTCATCCATGTCCTCTGGCAACCAGTTTGATCTGAAGGCGCTCAATAAGGGTTCAAGAAAGAAGCTTGAGTCGTACCAGCAGTTGTTCTTCAATCTCCAAACACAGCCACAATACCTCGCTCGTCTCTTCCGTCATATTCGCGAGCAGGGAACGTCCGAGAAGGAGAGCAAGAGGATAGAGCTGCTCATCATGAGTCTTTTCGGATACGCCCAAAAGCGCCGAGAAGAATATTATCTCTTGAAATTGGTTTCTAGGTCAATCAAAGAAGATATCGAGGGGTGTAAGACATTCCAAGAATATCTTCGTGGAAACTTTTTCTGGACAAAGCTGCTCGGCAACTACACCCGATCCCCTCGTGACCGCAAGTATTTGAGGGATCTCTTGGGACCTTTGATTCGGGACAATATTGTGGATGATCCTGCTCTGGACCTTGAGAGCGACCCGATGCAGATTTACCGATCTGCGATCAACAACGAAGAGCTTCGAACTGGTATGCCGGATCCTCGTCCACTCGAAGTTCCTCGGGAAGTGGCCATCAGGGACCCAGAGACGCGAAGACTTTTCATCGATCATCTTCGTGACCTGCGAGAGATTTGCGACCAGTTCTTCTTGGCATTGGAGGATCTCTTGCACAAGATGCCATATGGCCTGCGCTTCCTTGGAAGCCAGATGTTCCAGTCATTGAGACAACATTTCAAGAAGGAGTCCCCCGAAGTGATACTCCAGCTTGTCGCCAACTGGGTGTGGAAATCCTATCTCCAGCCTGCTCTAATATATCCCGAAAACGTGGGTGTAATTGAAAAGGGGCTGAGCCCTCTTCAGAAGAGAAACTTGAGCGAAGTAGGCAAGGTGGTCGGGCAGATTGCATCTGGCCGAGTTTTCGGAGGCGAGAACATCTATCTCCAGCCCCTCAACGCTTTCGTTTCGGAGTCTATTGAGAGGCTGGCTCAGATCGCGGCAGAGTTGATTTCCGTCCAGGATGCTGAGAGCACTTTCGATATTGACGAGTTCAACGACCTCTACGCCAAAAACAAGCCTACCTTGTATATCAAGATGACGGATGTTTTTGCCATCCACAACCTGGTCGCTGCCGAGCTCAACTACATGTGCCCAAGCCGTGACGACGTTCTGCGCGAGATCATGCACGATTTGGGCAATGCTAAGAACAACGAGAGCGAGATGAATGCGGTTGGCTCCTCCGAGATCCACATGTTCCTGACGCCAAAGCTTCACGACGTTCATGATCCCGAGGCCGAGGTGAAGGCGCTGTTTATGGAGACGAAACGTTGTGTCTTGTATATTATACGAGTACAAACGGGTGCGAACCTCCTGGAGATTCTGGTGAAGCCGATCACGGAGGAGGACGAAATCAAGTGGCACCAGATCCTCCGAGACGATTTCAAGAGCGATAACAAAACTCGTGGTGCGTACTCGGATGCCAACATGGTGGACGTTACGCGAATGTCGTACCATGAGCTCAAGCGCACAGCGCTGGAGAATGTGATGCGCCTGGAGAAGTGGGGACGCATCTCGAAGCACAACTACTACCAGGATGTGCTCAATGCGATTGCTGTCGATATCCGCAGCAAGAGCCGAAGGAGAGTACAGAGACAGCGAGAGTTGGATGGTGTTCGGATGACCCTCTCCAACTTGCACGACAAGGCCAAGTACCTGGAGCAGCAGAGGAAGAGCTACGACGACTACATTGAACAGGCGATGGCGACACTCCAGAACAAGAAGGGGTAAGTGACTACAATCTGCATTATGCTACTAGAGATGAGATGTAACAGACTACTGACATGAGTTTCGCTCAACAGCAAGAAGAGATTCCTCCTGCCGTTCACAAAGCAGTACAACCACCAGCGCGAGCTCGAGCGCAGCGGACGGGTGCCCAAGTTCGGTAGCTACAAGTATAGCGCCCGAGCTCTCCTGGAGAAGGGCGTCCTCGTTTCATGGAGCGGCATGGCCGACTGGGAAAAGATCAACCTGACAATCTCGTGCGACGAGGTGGGTGTTTTCGCCATTGAGGGATCAAAGGGCCACATCCAGATCCCAGGAGCCAGTGCGCTTGTGCCGATCGAGGATTTGCTACAAGCCCAATTCGAAGCTCACCAGTTTATGAACTTATTCGAGGGCAACCTTCGACTCAACGTCAACTTGCTGCTGCACCTGCTGTACAAGAAGTTCTACCGAACACAATAATCTGGCACGCACACTGTTCTATCTAATCGGAGTGTTGGGTGGAGATGAGCCGGCCTCTCACCGGGAGAGGGACGCCGAGGAAAGGGCGAGTTCCCTCTCAAACCAAACTGAAATTTTGACTTATGGAAGCGACAATTGTTTTTCTGCACGGACTGACTATTGGGGAGTGAACGGAAGGGACAGGAAACGCAAGGCAAGGGAAACGAAACGAAACGAAAGGGCATGGGTTTGCACAGACCGGAGTTGTAACATTCGGGTTTGTGGTGTTGTAGATAAGGTAGCATGATAATGTGGGTAGGGCCGGTTCGTTCTTCTTTATTAGTGAGGTTTTACATATTCAAGATACCATACTCGCCATACAACATATTACACAAGAGCACACCGCAGGACCCTTTTTTTCTTATCCCGGGTCCCGACTCGAGCGAAGTCGCTGGCGTGACTGACTATTGGGCAGCGGTGGGAGACTACCGGCGGGTGGGACTGGTGCAAGTGTCTCTTAAGATTGCTTTTTCCTGCTTATCGGTTCCAAGCGACGCTAGCGAGGAGCTCACGCGACCAGCCATGGCTTGGGAAACGAGCGCTTGGCCGAGGGGGAACACAAGTGCCGAGCGAGACGAAGGAAGGAAGGTGGCTACGTTGCCGTTAGGTTGCTTCTTCCTGGCGATAAGAGCTGGACAAACCCGGGCTAAGCGACGAGGAGTGAGGAGGTGAGGGAGGTGATATTGCTTTTTCCCCCTTTCGCCGGGGGTTGCTGGCGAATAGGGTGTTGACGGCTGGGCAGTGGGAGTCGGTGCCGGGCTGTGGCTTTTCTTCCTGCATTGAAGCCATGCACGATAACACGACTGACTGTCTTAGAGCGAGGACGGGCGGGCGCGGAGAGGAAGCGTGCTGCCCACTGACGAGGGAGATGACGGAGTGGGAGGAGGGCGGGAAGCGCACTAGTTGGACTACTGCATGCAACCTAAGGAGAGCAGAACAGACATGTCGTGTCCCCCACAGATGCGAGCTCTGGTGCCTCGTTGCTCGATGTGGGTGTGGGCGTGTTTGTATGACCGGGGTTTTGCAGGACCAGCACCAGGGCTGGTGGAAAGTGGAACGGCAATCCATCTAGACCCAGACTGACACGGAACGCACGCGTTGCGGAGGGAAAAAGCTGGGACCGGGAGCTAGGTGAGAAGGTGTTTCCGTCAGAACGCAGAGTGAGCGTGTCAGGGAGGCGATGGTGTCATCTTAGACTTTGATGTCGACATGCGCAAATCGCAGGAATCGCAACATAAAAAGAGGGTACGTTACGCGGATGGCCAGACTTATACAGTGTTCTTTCTGGCCAGTCCGTCGGCCACGGGTGAGACGGTGAGAAATGGGGGACGCGCGTGGCGTGCGACGGTTCAGCTGTCGTGCTGGTCTCGCACACACACTTCGAATCGAGCCCGGAGGTGGGATTGGATTGGATTGGATTGGGTTCTCATGGCTGGCCTCCTCTCGTAGCTGCAGACCCGGTATCAATCCGTCCAAGCCTGGGACTGGATTGATTGACAACACCCCTCTCTCTCCACCGACCCCGCCCCCTCTTCCGTTGTGCTGCAAGTATTGTTTTCGTCTCTTTCTTTGTTGGAGAAGACAAAGACTGGCAGACAGCCGGTGGCCTGGCCCAAGGTGTCGGAGAATTGATGATGGCATTCTGCCTTCGATCCATAGTTCTGGTCCTTCTGGAAGACCGCGGGTGGATGCGCCCAGAGCAGGCACTGGGCATACGGGGTCCAGTCCGCAACATATGCCACTATCTCCATCCCATCTATCGTCTTCGACGTTGGGTTGGATCGAGGAGCGCAGCTGGGTGCCCGTCGCAGTTGCCGTCGGCCAAGTGTCCGGTGTTGCCGCCTCCATCGACGGGACCGACCCATGGCGAGGAGGCAAAGTTGTTGTCTGGTCTCTGGGCGCGTGCGCGTGTGTCCACATGATTGAGTGTTGGCGTTGAGCTCGAAAGATGCAGCATCTATACGGTGCGGATTGGGGTCGAGATGCACCGTATAGATCGATCTGGGCGTTGCTGGAATGGAATGACTCCTGGGCCAGCGACCCCTGCAGATTAGCCTCCTGCTCCCCCGCCGCCGACCTGCTGGAGCATGTGTGTTTTCAGCATGGTGCGCAGGGGGTCTCAGCCAACCGCAGCCTTGACAGTACCCAATCGGGTAGTTTCTCAGGGTCTCTGGTCTGCTGTGTAGCGCTATTCCACATCACACCGCCTGGCCTCTAGGTCCGAGGGCAATCGATAAGCCGGCTCCAGTAAAAAGAGGCCACCCGAGAAATCAATCCATGGAGACTCCTTACTTTTGGGAGATGGGAGATGGGAGGGGAGATGAGATGGGTTGGGTGAGGCAGCGAGCGTTGGCGCATACATGATATCATCTCGAGGAGCCAGAGGCAAGAGAAACGTCCATCATGGCACGTGCAACTCGGAATGCCAGTGTAATCCTCCGGCCCTCATTCGACGCAAATACTGTGCTTACTGTACAGCCCCATCCATGTCCGTCCGTCGTAAAAGTTTCGACGTCGACACCACTGATAGTGTGCAAAGTCTGTGTGCGTCTCATTATTATGCCATTTGGCGCCCCGACAACCGTATGAGCCGTTGATGGTCCCAGAAAACCCGATTGACCACTTTCCATCACCCCAAGCCGGTCTCGGATTGATTCCTGCCAATTTGCCTTGTTCGGAAGGCCTTGGGCTAGCGTGTGATTGATTAGCCTGGCTGCCTATTTTTTCCTCGTCTTCTCCTCGCTTCTCTCGATGCCGTCGTCCCAGGACACACGCCTTGGTCTCGATGACTGCTGCTCGACAACATAGTTTCGCAAGTCTCATCCGCAGTTTCATCATCATGCCATCCTGCCAGCATTCCACCCTGGTAGACTGACGTACCACGCATTTCAAATATACCACTGACTTACGAATCTCTCTGACCTCACACCTCCTCCCACCTCCTTGTCCCCATTGTGTCTTCACCCAGCTTTGCTCAAGCCACCCCTCGTGACCGCCCAAACCACCATCCACTATCCCTGAACATCCCGTCCATCCATCCATCCAGCCAATCCATACTTGGCCGAAGGAACATCTCCTCACCCCCTGCGTAATTTCACATCCGGTGTCTAGGAGCCGCCACCGGAACCCTACTAATACCTTGGCTCCCGCCTCTAACCCAACGACTAACCACTATTTGTACCCTGCCTTCCCTCCTCATCTCCCTCCGCCTCTTCTGCTCCCTTCCCCAACTCTAATTCTTCCCTCTCGCCTCCAGGCTAGCCTAGTCTCTTAAAGACAACTGCCGGCCTCTTGTCCACCCAAGTAGGGCAACAGAAAGCAACAACAACACCACTCCACTCCATTATACTCCCGCCATGTCTCCAGACCTCAACTCTCTCCCCCCATCAGTCTTTGGGGAGGCCCCTCGCCCCGCAGATGGCGGCGAGCAGCCAAACATCCTGTACATCATGGCGGACCAGCTGGCTGCTCCCCAGCTCAAGATGTACAACCCCGACTCCCAGATCAAGACCCCCAACCTGGACCGTCTTGCTGCCAGCGCTGTCCAGTTTGACTCGGCCTACTGCCCCTCCCCCCTCTGTGCCCCCTCCCGTATGAGCATGATCACCGGCCTGCTGCCCATGAAGATCGGTGCCTTCGACAATGCCTCCCAGATCAGCTCTGAGATCCCCACGTATGCCCACTACCTCCGCGCCAAGGGCTACCACACTGCCCTGGCCGGCAAGATGCACTTCGTCGGTGACCAGCTGCACGGGTACGAGCAGCGTCTGACCAGCGACATCTACCCTGCCGACTTCGGCTGGGCCGTCAACTGGGACGAGCCTGACACCAGGCTCGAGTGGTACCACAACGCCAGCTCCATCCTGCAGGCAGGACCCTGTGGGCGCAGCAACCAGCTTGACTATGACGAGGAGGTCATGTACAAGAGCACTCAGTACCTGTGGGACCACGTTCGTGAGGGCCCCAAGAAGCGGCCCTTCTGCTTGACGGTAAGTGACCCGGTGGATAAGATTGGGCTTGTAAAACCGCCGAGGCCTGCTCTTGGCCCCAAGAGGAGATCATGGCCGGTGGGATGTCCTGGTATGACGGATAGGGCTGACACGTTATGAAACTAGGTCTCTTTGACTCACCCCCATGACCCCTATACCATCACCAAGAAGTACTGGAACCTGTATGAGGGCGTGGACATCAACCTCCCCAAAGTCCGCATCCCCAAGGAGGAGCTAGACACCCACAGCAAGCGTCTGATGAAGGTTTGCGACCTCTGGGACCAGGACTTCACTGATGACCAGATCAAGCGTGCTAAGCGTGCCTATTATGGCTCCGTCAGCTACGTGGATGACTGCATCGGTAGACTGCTGGAGACCCTCGACGACGCTGGCCTGGCTGACAACACCATTGTCATCTTCAGCGGTGACCACGGTGATATGCTGGGTGAGCGAGGACTCTGGTATAAGATGAGCTACTTTGAGTCGTCTGTCCGTGTTCCCCTCCTGGTCAACTACCCCAAGTGGTTCGAGCCTCACCGCGTCTCCAAGAACGTCTCGACCCTCGACATCCTCCCCACTGTCTGTGACCTCGCTGGAACCAAGCCCTCTCCCTACCTGCCCATGGACGGCGTCAGTATGATGCCTCATCTCCAGGGCAAGGAAGGCCACGACGAGGTCTTCGCCGAGTACACCGGCGAGGGCACCGTCCGCCCCCTCTTCATGATCCGTCGCGGCCCCTGGAAGTACATCACTTGCCCTGCCGACGAGCCCCAGCTCTTCAACCTGGCCCGCGATCCCGATGAGCTGGACAACCTTGCTCGGTTCCGCAAGATCGAGCCCAAGACCCCCGAGGAGCAGGAGGCCAAGGAGAAGTTCAACCAGATGAAGGCCGAGGCCGACGACAGATGGGACTACGATGCCATCACCGCTGAGGTCTTCCACTCCCAGCGTAGACGCCGTGTGGTGTGGGATGCCCTGAAGCTCGGCAGCTTCACCAGCTGGGACTTTAACCCAGAGGATGACGGCCGCCAGAAGTAAGTTCTCCCCGTATTTGTTTCACCGATATATGTCTCATGTTACTGACCGGATTTGCACCCTAGGTATATCCGCTCTACGATTCCCCTTGACGACCTGGAGCGCCGCGCTCGCTTCCCCTTCGTTGACATTTACGGTGCTGAGCTCAAGAACTCTGTCGTGAACTCGACTCGTGGCGGTTAAACGACCTGGGCAACGAGTTGTCCCCTTTGAGATGGCCATCTTGCTCCGCAGTGTCTTAGATGGCTGAATCTCCGGCGAACTGGCGACACCTGGACCGCTCACCTGATTTATATGAGACTGATACCCAAAAGCGCACCAAAACCGTGAGAGAGAAGAGCATACGACAGGTCCCAGGTGTTGCGTTAAAAGGGGAGGGAGGGTTGGAGTGAGAACATGCCTATTTTGATCAGCAATGCATATGCAAGCCGGTGTCGGGATGACTTCTTCCACTTCTTTTTTTTCTTGTTGTTTTTTATGATCCTGCTATCGGAGATTCATCCGTCCCCATATCCTTTTTTTTTTTCTTTCTTAAGCGCTGGCATCCATGGCATTGGCGAATGTATTTTAGGCATATAGTTGATAGGATTTCATTGACCGCATCTGAGTTTGAGCTCGCTTTCTTTTGATCAAGGTGAAATTAGCCATTATTGGACTTGAGATGAAGACTTGTTGAGTATGCTAAAGCAGTCCCAGTCAAGGAGCTTGATAAGGCCAAGCTGTTGTCCTTGTTCAAGGTCTTCAGAATGCTTAGCCTTATCAAACTCCTTGACTGGGGCTCCCTTAGCATAGCCAATAAGTTTTGAACCCCTTGTGTTTAACTTGGGCTTGGGAACTGGGGTCCAAGTCATCATACTGTCTTCGAGAGAAGGCGCCGAGATCTGGTCCTGCATCACGTCAAAGGCTGCGCACGTATCAGCGCAAGTGCTCTGGCTAAGCATTCCTACCCGCTTTCTTCCATCTAGCTAGAGTTCTTACCCATCACACACGCAGCTTCACACTCATCTTCTGTCACACCAATCCAAGCACAAGCTCAAAGCAATCCAGTGAGTAGCAGTAGCCCCTTGGCGGCATTGGTGTGATAGGAGACGAGTGTGAAGCTGTGTGTATGATGCAGAAGTCTAGCTAGATAGAAGAAAGAGGGTAGGATGAATAAGGATCTGACGAGCGGCTGGTCCCGACGGCAAGGGAGTCATCGGTACGAAGGTTTACGGAGTTTTCCTTCTGCATCGTTGTAGCCTTGGGCTGGCAGAGGTTCTTGTTGCCCTTCGTATTCATTGTGTTGAGATGTCGGGTCTGGCATCCTCCATTGCTGATTTTCACTGTGTGAGTCAAGCTGCTCGGACTCTCCAACCGTCACACCCGAGGTGAAAACCTTCAGTTCTCAACCCTACCGAGGCGAAGGTTAGAAATGAAAGAGGGGAGGAAGCGTGATGGTGAGGAGAGAAGGTGGAATGACGAGCTTGAGGGGTGATCTTATCGATAAGCCACCTGAATGAAGCACATGCTATGCACCTCCCCTCACCGAACCAACTTGAATCAAACACACCGCCGACAACTACTCCTTGCGCACTCGCAGCATCGCATTGAGCCAGCCGATTTGCCGCACCAACTCACCTTGCGCTGCTCTAGCCATCCGCTATAATGGCGACGCTCGGGCTCGACGATGACGAGCTCAAATCCGTCGAGCAGATGGTCTCGAGAATCTCACAGCTCTCAAGCAGCATCAACAGCTTGAAGCACGACCTCCTGAGATCCGCACCGCTCCCCCCTCCGTGCGTCTCTCACCACCTCCCCGATCACCCCGAATGACGCAAACCTGCTAACGTCCACGGGTTCGCGCAACAGATCCTCCTTCCAGGCCTCGGCCCAGATCCTGCAGCGCAACCTCCAGACCATCCTCGACAGCATCACCGAGAACTCGGAGCTGTTCAGCCAGATGGCCCTCCACCCGTCGACCAACTTCCCCGGCCGCACGCAGGAGGGCATCCTCTCGATGCTGCTGCGGAGCAAGCTCGAGCCGCAGATGGAGGAGCGCGTGTCGCAGGGCCTCGAGACGGCGCACCGGGCCACGCCCGAGGGCATCGCCGTCCTGCAGGAGGTGTGGGACGAGTGCAGGCGGTGGACGCAGGAGCGCATCGCCGAGTACGTGTCCGAGGAGGCCGACGACGTGTACACCAAGCAGGAGAGGGACGCGGGCGTGGAGAATGTGCGGACGGGCCTGCGGAGGGAGCTCGAGGAGGACGAGAGCGACGACGACGACGGGGAGGACGAGGACGAGGTCGATGACAGTGCGAGGGGATCACAGCAGCAGCAGCAGGGTGCGCCGCCGGTTGCGCGGGGGCCGGAGCCCGAGACGTTGATGTGGTTTGCTGCGCGGGGGGACTTTTCGGTGCCGCCGAATATCGAGTTTGAGCGCAAGATGGATGTGTACCGAGGGCTGCAGGGCGTCAGCATACCGCCTGAGCCGATGCAGCAAGGTTGAAGTGAGTGATGGGTGGACGAACGGGACGCTCTCGGGTCGTTGTCTTGATCTACCCAAAGATGAGAAAGGTGTCGAGCTGGTTATCGAACACCGAACACCGATCAAATTATCTTTTTATTCCGTCAATTTTGTGTGGGAGGCTAGGATAGGTTCCTTGGGCGTTTCTAGGCCCTGGGCCATATTTTACGAGATACCAGCGAACATTCAGGGCTTGATTGGGAATTGAGGCTTGCAGAGATCCAGATGGAATTCGAGACACATGACGGATTCAAGATCCCTTCTCATAGGGACATGGAGATGAGAAGGAGTTATCACAAAAGGGAAAGGACGACAACCGTGCCCAAATGACGTACATACTGATATATTTACAGCCGTCTTTCTCTACGGAGCTGGGCATCTTTCAGATAGAAATTACTAAAAGCGAAAAAGCGGTTTGCAGGCAGTTAGCACAGATAGAGGCAAGTGAATGCTAAAATGCGAGAGGCTAAAACGCCACAGCATATGATACAGATGCTATGCACTCGAGATTATTGATTGGCAATGTCTAATAGCCGTAATAAATTAACTGATTTCTCCATGTGTGAGTTGTCCTCTGATTGGCAAGTTTTCCAAGTCCTGCACATCGCATTGACTCATGTGACTTCGCGCCAATCTCGCTTCATCACAGCTGCAAGCGGCATTCGGTGTGCGATGAGTCACGCGTCTGGCCAAAGTGATGTAATGATCGGACTCTACCTGGGCGATTTCTTATATCGTATCTGCCAGTAAGACCGGAGCAGCTCCCGTCGCAATTGGCCACGCAGATAAAGTAGGAATCGTCCATGCCCAGGACCGACCCTTGCTATAACAAGGTCAATCGTCTCACCTGGATCCTCGTTCACGACCGACCCCTCACCTCACTCCAGCCCACTTCACCACCAAAAACCAGCATCATGGAAGCCGCCTGCCAGTGCGGCGCCGTCAAATTCACCACGCCCCTCCCCAACCCTCTGGCCCTCTACGTCTGCCATTGCGACGACTGTCGTCGCCAGGCAAGCTCTGCGTTCGGCTCCTCCGCCATCTTCCCCCGCTTCAACCTCCCGGACTCGGAGCTTCTGAGCTGCTACAAGTGCGTACCGTGAAGAAATGTTCTTGACGCCAACACGAATGATCTTCTAGCATACTGATTCTTGTTTTACGCTGTAGGCGTCCGACATCCACTGGCCAGACTCTTTATTGGTAGGAATCTTTTTTTCTCTTTCAACATGGGTTTTGGCGAACTCCCCTCTGACCTGGCTTGCGACCGTTAGTTACTTCTGCCGCAACTGCGGCACACGAATGCTCCATTCAGTACCTGTAAGCCTCCTCCCCAAAGAAGATATATCTCCCCTTCTCTGATCCATGTTCTCATCCACCCCTCCTGGCGCAGAACAAGAACGTCATCTCCATAAAGGCAGGCTGCATCCAGGGCCTGGACTGGAACAAGGCAATCCACATCTGGGCCAAGAACGCCATGGTGCCCATCCCCGAGGGCTCAGAGTCGTACACGTACGGTCCCCCCTCGTCCCGGAACAGCTGCGCCGCGTACAGCTCGCCCGGCTCGTCGAGCGAGGGCTCGTACGACCAGCCGGACGAGCTGATGGGTAATGGGAGCTGCCATGTTGGCACTGAACACGAATCTACTAAATGAGTTAAGCTCTTGGGGAAACTCATTGCCGCATGGGAAGGTCCATCGCGTTGAGCGTTGCCGCCGAGTAGGTCGATGAAATGGGACGGCAGTCGGGGTGGAAGTGCGTGGGGATGGGTTCATCCATGGATAGGGAGGTCACCTGGCTCACGCTCCTGCTACGGAGCTTGCAGTATGGATGAGAACGAGAGTTCAGTCCCTCTCAGAGGTTCATAGAGGCCGGGCAGTTCGACTCAACCAAGCCGGGGCTTCACACCCAGAGCTCCTTACTCCACAACCGGATCACCAAGCCAAGCCCGGCCTCTACTCCCCGCATCAAGGGCATGAACGCCGAGGTAAGAATGTGGCGAAAGGAAACACTGGCCTACTTGGTGTTAAAGGCAAAACCTGAGGGGAATAGCCTGGTTAATACATATGAGGAGGGGCCCTTTACGATCCATCAAGGTGTTCGCCAGACTAACATGTATGTCACAATTATCAAGACAAATCTGCAGTTGGATATCAACTAGAAAAAATGGTAGCTCTGTTTTGTTATTGATATCCTGCGTGAAGCTTCTTGGGATTGGCATTTCCCAAGGAGGCTATGGTATCTGGCTCCCCATTAAGTGAAGCCCCTTGAACCAAATCTAATAGGAGTCACCCAGAAGTCGTTATCCGATTCCCGTCTGATCTCAATGGAGCCATCCTGCCAAGTTCATCAGATACCGCCCCACACAAGACTGGGCTAAATGGTATTTATCTTGATACTAAGGGCCCCGTGTAGAACACGACGTGGGCTTGTAGTCGGGAACTGCGTATATCCTTATTTCTACCACAGGTTTATTCTCGATTTTCATGGTATTAACCAGTGCTGGGCGAGAAAGCCTGGGCCATATGTGAAAAAAAGGATCGTGTTCGTAAGTCTTCCTAAGTAGCGCTTTCTTGTCCGTGTCTACTCCTAGGTAGACACTAATCGCAAGACTTGAAATTAGACTGGCGGGCCATATACAGCTTGAAGAACACGCGATTCTAGAAGCCAATTTGAGTGAGAAGAAAGTCGATCGGACGAGAGGCGACTGAGAGCTACTTCTTGGCTGCGTCAGCGTCCCGGGAGACGAGCTTCAACTTCTTGGACTGATGCTTGTCCCCCTTTTGAGTCTCTTCCCCATTTTTCCGCTTCTGTTTTTTATCCTTCTTGTTACTGCCTTGACCGGACTGCCCCTCTTTCGTTTCTTTCGTGGGAGGAGCATCCAGCGCCTGGACGACATCGACGACGCCTCTAAAGCCAGTCCTCTTGACTCCTTCATTAACAACCACGCTTCTGGGGACGGAACCCAGGCCTTCCATGCCCTTTTCCCTCCCGAGGCCCCAGACGTCAAGCAGGTTGACCACATCCGCCGGCGCCCTGAGACTCAAAGCATTCCGGGCCTCGCTGCTGATCATGATTCCCCTCCCGCGGGTGGCACGAATCAAGCCCGTGGCATTGGCGATGAACTGCGCGCGGCCGCGAGCATCAGCAGCCAGCGCCTGGCTGTAGCATATCTCGAATCGTACCCCGCGCGAGACGGCGGCCATGCATGGCTTGGGGCGGAAGTAGAAGCCGAGATTCTGGGTGAGGTCCATGGAGATGATGGGGGTGTCGAAGGTGAGGCATGCGTTCTGGAAGGCTTTGTCGGAGAGGGGTCGGACGGCGAGGATGTCGTATATTCGCACGAGGGCGGGGAGGCTGAAGTTGGAGGCGGCGGGGTCGTCGAAGACGAGGGTTGCCCGATGAAGAATCCGGGGCAGTTTGGTGGGAGAATCGGGCGAGAGCTTGGGGAATGGAACCCCCTGCTGGCCTGAGGGAGCTTGGGTCAAGGTCGTGTTCAGTGCGACTGCCCCATAGCCAAGAGATGCAGACAGGGTGAGGGTCTGTAGCAACTGGGAATCGGTGGTCGAGGGCGACCAAGGGACGTTGAGGTCGTAGAGCATGACGGGCAACCTTTGGGCTGAACAAGCAGCAGTCGTAATGAGCGGGTGCTACTCTTGACGAACACCGTTTGTCAGCAGGCCATCGGGAGGCTCAATCTCCAGTCTGACGAATGGCAGAGACGAGTTTTGGGCTCATGCGACGCGACGCGATGCTGCTGGTTGGTGATGGCGGATTCAATAAGCTTTGGACGTAAAAAAAAGATTAAGTGGGGTTGTCGGCGTACCTGCCGGGCTCATGCTCGCCGGTGGATGCCCTCCAATAACTTAATGTTGAAAGCTGTGTCCCAAAAATGCTCCTTTTTCACTTCTTTTCCATGAGCTACTATGGGCGAGTGATTGTATCTATTTTCGGGTTTGCAACGAGTATAATTCGATTGCGCCGAGTATTGTCAGAGACTATCTTGGGCCATTGCAGCCGTGGTTGTTGAAGACGTCGAAACCCCACTCACACCCATCGCAGGATGTACAAGGATGGTTTGAGGGCCTATTTGTACGGATACGGCTATGATATCATCGATGGCACGATCGATTTTGGCGACACTCATACTGCATTAGGTTGGGAGCTGCCATCGAACGAATGTTATCGAGGCGTCCAGGCGCGGAAATGTGTAAAATGAAATCCATGTATTTAGGGTGCTGACGGACTGCAGTACCTTACCTAAGTCTCCTGCAACCTTACCTACTGTAGGTTGTAGGTACCTGAGACACTATGTACCAAGTAAGGTAGCGACGTGTACTCGTACTGCCCTCGTCAGCGCTGCGGCTTAGCCTCGACTCCAATGATGGCTGCGACATCAGATAAATGGAATGCTTGGCGCGCCTTAGAATCTGTTGCTGGTCGTCCTGCATGGTGGTTGATAGTCGGGAAAATACATAGCCAGCCAAGCCTCTACAACGTGACCCGGAGACTTGGCGTTTGCGTCGTAATCACCCCTCCCATTTCCAAAACTTAGGCCTGGCGAGGTCCTGTTTTGCCGCCCCAGAAAAATAGAAATAGAGCCCTGCGGCCTGGCCCGGTGCTTGTCGCGTCATACAAAATTAACGTTAGTGCACCTGCGTCCGACGGAGATACTAAATCGACAACAAACACCCTCCGACTGGTTCTGGAGATTGGCTCACAGCACCCTTTCTTTCTTCTCGAGGCCATCTGTAACTCCCCCAAACATTCCTGTGCTACTTACCTGCACTCGACACGTCTTTCCTGCATCTCTAACCCGCCACACTACCAAATCCCATCGCCCACCATGTTCTTCTTCTTCGTCTGTGGCGAACACACCTTTCGCAAGGAGCTCCCGGGCTATGAGGGAGTCATAGCCCAATGCCACCACTGCGGTAACATGTCCGGCCACGTCCTCCACCGACGGCCCTTCTTCACCTTCTGCTTCGTGGTAAGTCTGCGGCTCTCCCTCAGGGCACCACCCCCTTTCCTCCCCTCCCCTTCTCACCGGCTAACATCATGACCAGCCCATCATCCCATTCACCATCAGTGGGTACAAGGACATCGTCTGCCACATCTGCAACCACGCCCAGCCCCTGGAAGCCCGCCCAGACGTCCAGGCCATGGCCAACGGCGGTGCAGGACCCGGAGGCCCGCTGCCCCAGGGCCCGCCTCCCAACCAGCAGTATCAGCAGGGCCCTCCACAGCCCGACTACCAGTACAAGCAGCAGTCCGCGCCTGGGCCGCCGCAGTACCGCTGAGTCTCGTTTGGCTTGCAAACCATTATTTATTATTTCTCCCTTGAAAAAAAGTTGTGGCTTTTGAGGCGTCTGTTTTTTTTTTTTTTTTTTCCTTTCTCTTTCTCTTTTTACGTCAGCAACTTGGCACGTACATAACCTTTCGTCGAGTTTGCGAACTAGTTTATCTTCTATTCAACCTTTTTTTATGAGGCGATATCAAGTTGTATTCCAGCGTTATGCTGGCTAAGGGCGCGATTGTCATTACTCCCTGCGGTGGTGAGGCGTTGAGGATGTGTTCAAAGGGGGTGAAGAGATACCAGATATGAGTTAAGGGGTGCCTCTAACTTAGGAGCATGGCCTATATAGGAGGATCTAATTATTCAAAGAAACGTTTCGATTCATATTCAGAGGACCCATCTCACATGTACATGAACGCTCAAATCTGAAACTACTAAAGAAGCTAGTCATTATTGCAAAAGTCCGAATGCATCGTGTATCCTGGTATCTCTATTTCTCAAGCTCCAGACGCCCCAGAAGGTCCACCATCGCGCCCGCTCATCCTGAGACTCTCCTCCAGCGCCTTTCTCAGGTCCTCGTCTTCCTGCCCATCGTCGGGCGCCCTCTCCTTACCCTTATTCATCTGCCGCCGGTATTCCTCCTCCGCCAGACTCTGCTTCTTGATATACTCGAGGACAACATCTTCCTCCGTCCTCTGGCTCTTCTCCCGCTCCATCTCCTCCTTGGAAGCGGCAATGGCCCGCTCAAACTCATCCTCTTCTGTTGGGCTTTCCCGAGGAGGTAGCGCCGGCGGATGCCGGGACGCTTCGATGGCTCGCTGCAGCTCGGCGTCATAGGGTTCTTGCGTAACAGCCTGTTCCGCCGGAACTGAGGCCTTCGTATCCAGGAGGGGCTGTTCCTGAACTGCCGCCTGTTTCTGCCTTGAAGAACCTGCCTCTTGAGGCTGGGGGACGTCTTCCGAGGCGGCGCCCAGGCTTTGCTGGATGGCCTTTTCGATGAGAGCCTGATACTCCTCGTCCGTGACCTTGTACTCTTTATCCTCGAAGATCGAGTAATTCTTGTCTGCCGCTTTGATCACGGGGTCGGGAAGCTCGCCGTTTTTGCGTACTGCAATGACACTATGGCGAACGGCCGCCTCGATCATGGCATCCTCCCTCGCATCACCTCGTGACGTCTCCCGCACAGATGCCTGGATGGCGCGCTCAAACTCGGCATCTGTCGAGGTTTGCGAAACGGTTGAGCCAGTGTGCGAGGTGAACCCGCTGCTGCTGCTGCTGCTGGGCTTCATGAGCTTACTCAAGTCGACCGGGAATTTGCTCAGCTTCTCATCCAGGCCGGGGACGAAGGAGTTGATAGAGTTGATCCAGTTCCCGCGCGGAATTCCGCCGCTTTGAGCGTAAGGCGATGTGCCAGGAGCTGGAGATTTCTGTTGCGACCTGTCCGACTTCTGCCAGTGGTGGAAACGCTTCAGGTCAAACTCGCCGGCCTCCCATCGAACCATGATGTCGTTCCGCTCCTCAATCGTCGAGCTCCTCAACTCTCGCTGACTCTGAATAATCCTGGCGGAAACGATGTGGTTCTGGCTGCTTCTCGCAAACAGCTTTGATACTTGAGCATGGACGCCCTGCATTGTGTAGGCCGGTATGCCCCAGAAACCTGCGAGATATTAGTCCACAAACCTCATTCCCATCTCAACGGGGGGGGCTGAATATTTACCTGCTGCTGGCTTTGTTACCAAACCACCGATACCCTTGCCAACTCCCTTGACCAAGCCACCAACACCGTCCTTCTCTGCGCCTTTGAGAGGCTGTGTGACCAGGCCAGATATGCCGTCAAAGAGGCCGTAGCCGAATTCCTTGCCAGCGACCTTGATCCCGGTGGGGATGTCCGTCACCTTCTCAACAGGTCTGACCGTCGTGTCGTTATACAAGTGAGGAATGTTCCTGAATCCCTTTGCGAGACCGAGGCAGAAGTTCATCGGGGACTTGACTCCGGTCGTGACGATTTTACCGACGCTCTTCCCAGCACCGACGGCAGCGTCCATCCCAATCGCCCTGGGAGATGAGTCACGCCTGATCCCTTGTCGCCTACTATCCCGGGAGCCTGGTGTTCTTGGGCGGTCGTTCGAGTTTGAAACAGTGGTCGCAGAGGTTGTAAGAAGCGATGCGCTATCGAGCAGAGAAACCTGGGATTCACTAGGTTGAGGTGCGGTCGAGGCAGTTTCAGTGGTGATCAACGACTTGGTTTCCCCGTCTCCCTGTTTCTCGTCGTACAGCCCGAGGCCTTTCTCCTGACTTTGATTTGCACTGGGTGATATGTTGATCTCCGGGGGCGTGGTCGCTTCGGGAGAAGCACGTCGCTCCGGCGTGTCGAATACATCCGACTCCTTTCGACGAGTCCGGAACAGCTCACGAGGCATGTCTGCAATCGCCATTCCGATTCCACTCGCATCCGCTACGAGAGAACATGCCGCAGCAGAGATCGGGTCGGGGGGTTGATCGTCAGTGTTGTGCTCCTTCGGTCGATATCTGAAAAAGTGAATTAGTAAGGCCAAGGGACGGAACTTCACTCGTTTCAGGGAAAGGGAGAGTCATACAGCTTCAGGTCAGTATACTGCAGAGCGCCTTGCTCAACGAGCGTTGCCGCAGCCAGTGGACTGAGCCGAACTTTAGACCTTCTAAGTCGCCAAATAGCCGTGCGGCTCGGGGCAAGAGAGCACCGGAGCGACTCAACATCCAAGTGGTTGTGGAAGCATTGAGCGCCAACATCAGTACCCTTCTCGTTTCTCACCTTGTCCCCGTATTGCATCGCCTTCTCGATGGTGTCAGGCTGGATGCAGAAAGAGATGGAATCGGCAAGCTTCTGTGCAGTCAGTTGCTTATAAGGGATCGGGTCAGGGCCGGCTCCAGCCCGTGCAACCATGGCACCCCAGAAAGGCTGGTCTCCGAAAAAGGGCACGACCAATGTTGGCTTGCCAGCCTTGATGCCTGCGGCTGTAGTACCAGCGCCGCCATGGTGGACAACACAGGAGACATGTTGGAAGAGCCAGTCATGGGGCACGTTGCCCAGCATGTACACTCCCTCCGGGATCCCGACGTCGTCGGCTCCTAAACCGCCCCAGCCTTTCGATACCAGAGCTCGTACGCCAGTGGTGCGAATAGCTTCGAAGATCATTTGCGTCAGCGCATTCGGGTCGTCAACAACAATGGAGCCGAACCCAATATAAACTGGCGGCGGGCCAGCTGCTAAGAAAGCGGCGAGTTCGGGGTCGGGTGTGAAATTCGTCGCGAGATCAAGGAAGTAGAAACCTGAGATGTCAATATGTTTACCCCAATCGTTGGGTTTTGGTATCAGGGATGGTGACCTATATGTAGAAGATGAGCTATTATTCACAAGATTATCACGAGACTTGTAAGCTTACCAGCAGTATGTATATGGTATCTTTAATCTGTTCAAAAGACCCGGAGCCCAGATCATTGAGAGTGGGGGCAGGTCCAGTGCCTTTTCTCTGAATCTGTTGATGACATCTCCCAGGCCCTGCCAAGTCATCATTTCGACGAGGGCATATGAGAGATACTGTGTGAGGACTTCGTCGGCATTGGACGATTTGATATCGGCCAAAGGATGTGGGAATGCTCTAGTCGGTGACCAAGGCATGCTTTAATTCTCGTTAGTAAGAATCATCATCCACCGTACAAGCAGCGCAGTTTCCAGACTCACGTAAACATCATGTGGAGTGGGATACCAAGCTTCTCCGCAATATGAACGTGTGCAAAACTCGGAGGATTAGCAATGATGGCATCTGCGACAAAATGATCCCGGCCGTCATCATAAGGCAATCCTTGTGAAAAATCCAATGGTTCGTCTCGATGGGGAGGCACTGCTGGACCAAGTCCATCACCAGCTTCGAAGCATGATCTCCTAGATATTACATTAGTCAAGACAACGCATAGAGAGTCAAGGTGCTGCCGGTGTGCTCACCAACAACCAAGAAGCATCTCCGCAATTCCTTTCCGACGTTTCGTAACCTCGCCGCTCTTGATCGCGCCAAATCCTGGCATCAGCCCTGGGTGCTTCACCATGAAAGCCATGAGCTCGGCCGGGTCCCCGCCAATACTGAAGAATTCCAAGCCATTCTCTTCCACAAACGACTGGAAGTTGGGGTGGGTCGCGATACGAACTCGGTGACCGTAGGTATTCTTCAACACCTTCCCCAACGCCACAAAGGGCTGGACATCACCGCGAGATCCCACGATCTGGACAACAACGTTCATCCGCGGGGGACGAGGTTGGCCTGGCTGGCCGCCGAGACTTGGCGGGATGTAAGCTGGGGGGAGTGCAGGTGAGGAATAGGCTCTCTCCTGGGCGCGAAAAGTCGGCGCCAGAAGGTCGGCGAGCAACCTGTTCTTGGTATTGATGGAGATGCTAACACGACCAACGTCTGCCATGTATAATTAGCTTTGGCGTATTCAAATCGCTCATTTCACCAGATCTTGTATATTTCCATACCGTTTACCACAGCGCCAGCTTCAACCCCCGGCTGGGAAAACTGCATTTGGTCGTGTAGGTCGCCATAGGCTGGCGGCTCCTCGTCGGGAGGCACCAAATCCTGGATCATGTAGCCATCTGTGACGAGTGCTTCGGCCGCATAGTCAGTCTGTGTAGTGCCAGCAGGAGGCTGGTTTAATTTCTGAGCCAAAATGGCTTTTTCTTCCTGAGCCGATGTCATGGTTGTTTAGACATAAGCTCAGTTGATGAAGAGATAAGGTGGGTTGGTGGGGTTGGTCGAGGTGGTGATGCAATGACAGAATGGGGATATATGAGACTGCCCGCGCGAGGGGCTTTGGGGTTGGTATCACCGACTGCAGCTGAACACAACACACCACAGCCTGGATGCAGCAGACCGTCCTGGGATGGGGGCCTGGAGATGACGAGGCCTGGTGTGGCTCGAAGCGATACAACAGCAAGTAGGCAGCCTGCGAACGCCAGGGAAGTGATCCACGGCTTCACCCGCGCAGGCGGCTTATATAGCAGGGCTGATTCCGGCGTATAAGGGGCCGGGATTCAGAGAAAAATCACGTCGGCACTTGGCGCGCGGGAGATGGGTGGCTGAGGCGTTTGGCAATACTCAAGGGTTGCCAATAGCAGCATCTGGATGCTGGTGGCAGTGCATCGACAACGACGCAATGATTCAATGTAAGTGGGGGGTTTCACAGCGCCAGCGGGGATCAACCACCACTACTCCATCCACGGCGGTGATAGGCCCTTGCATCCTCCTGCACCACCCCGTCCAGAGCCTTGTTCATATGAAATCGCAGCTCTCTTGCCTGGGGGTGCAGCATCTCGCACACGTCTCACGTCAACGCTTGAGCCTCACAGGAGTTCACCGAAACACCTCAAATCACACCTCGTACAACTCCTACCCCGAGCTAGTTTATTATTAGGATACTCCTGCTCGCTTTTGGACCGGCCATTTAGCCTCCAGACCAAAACGCCGCCCCGAGAGGCCCAACTCCAGCTTGGCCAAACCCGATCCTAGTCCGACCAGTGCTTCAATAGCGGCAATGGGAGATGAAGCCAAACTCCGGGTATTCAACCCGGCCTCGCTCAACTTACGTATTCCTTCGTCTGCCTCACCCGAAGCATGCATGAAAAGTAGAGTCCAGAGGCAGACAAACTATTAGCTCAAAACATGGTATTGGTCATCTTCACCAACTTATCCTAACGCCAAAGATCTCCACGCAAGCACATTGTCTTTCTTTCGTTCTTTTCTTTCAATTGACAAAACCAAAAAGGAGGGAAAAACCTTGGATGGGTATTATTATACAGACGGCCATGATGAGAAGTCGTGGAAGCCAACCGCGCCGCGCACCACCGTGACAGAGTGCCGCAGGCAACTGGTCTTCCCTTCCTGGCTCATGTTTTCCCTTCAATACCAGTAGCCGCTGGTGTTTCTGAGCCACTCAAATAGTCCTACGCCTTTACCATACAAAGGTACCAACAACATAACCACCCCAACCCGCGCTCATAGTTCCGCGTCCAGATTTAGCTGGAGAATCGTCGGGTGATCTTGGCAATAACTGCATGTCCAGGTTAATATCTGTCTGCTTGGCATGAGGTCGTTCCCCTGAGGTTCTCGCCAACTTACTGTGAAGGGCAACAACGCTGAAGATAAAGACAATGGAAAGAACCAGGACGACGACGGGGTCGACCTTGAGACCGGGCGACTCATCGGTGTAAAGTCCTAACCCAGGCTGTTAGCAATCTCGCAATCCCAATGTAAGAGGAGGTCGCGATCACGACGCGACCTCCAACAATCTGGGCGGGACGTACTCAGCATGGTGCTGCTGGAGCCACCGGCACCAGCAGCCCTCGTGCTCGATGGGCGCGCATTGGCGATCTTCTCCTTCTGATCGGCAGCAGCTCGTCGTCGGATCGCGGTGCGAGGTCCACCAGGGGGGGTGGGAGAGGAAGGACGGCCAGTACTGGCGCCGCTGGCGGCAGCGGCGTTGGCGGGAGATGAGGCTCGGGGAGAAGACTATACACGCGCCGTCTCTGTCAGTAAAGAAGCTCTTGTAGGTCGACGCAATGTGGTGATGATGCTCGCAAGCTCGCGTGATGCGCAATCAAACGGGAGCTGGTGAAGACGAGGTGTGTGGTTTAGTAACAGGTATGCTTACCATGACGAAATAAAGAAATAAGAATCAATGGGGAATCGCTGCAGAATTCCTGGGCTTGAATTGGAAGAGAAAGAACGACGGTTGATGTGTTGATGCAGCAGCAAGCTAGGTGGATGTGCAAGTCCCTACGCCAGTAAATTGGCTTCAGTTGAGGCCACCTTCACCAGAAAGGGACCCATCGGCCCATTATTAATCCGCTTCCGTTTCCGACACAACACGCTGCCTCATTCCTCATTCCAACCTTAAACAGGGCTCATCTCGAGTACAAAAATTCAATTCAATATTTAATTACTAAAATAACTACAGGTCTCAATTTATAGTCTCAATGTGTGCATAGTATTAACCCATTGATGGACAAAAAAAGATACATTCCCTAAATGGTCCCATTTGATATTCCGAATTGCCAGCCCGCCTAGAGGGGCAGCATCTTCATGCTCGCCACTATGCAACAGAACAAGTCTTTCGAGTTCGCGCGCTCTTTTTATTCGAATCCCGCCAGCTCAACAAAAATAACACCACAACAAAAGGAATTGAAAACACAACAAGGAAAAAGAAGTATAATGAATGATGAACCCATGCTTCCAGATGGGTCGACTAGAGGCATTATTATCCATGCCCTGCTCGTTGACTACCTCATCCTGACAGACGCGCCTACTCTTATGGTATCGTCCTTTCTCATACAGACTCTTCGTCGCAGACAATGATGCTTCAGTAATATCTCATAGTTGCCGGGGTTCTGTATTGACCTTGAACCCACTCATCAGATAGCTCTTGAGTGATTCCGTCGTTGGACCTCTCAAAATCTTGTGATGATAAAAACAAATGGCCCCTTCAGGATACATGCCAGTAGGAGTCGGTCCTTCTGCATGGATAAGAGAGTGACTTGCTCAACAGAGTCCCGCCCCTTCCCCTATTTTGTCGGAGCACATTATGTAAGATTAGACAGTTGTAATCTATACCAACAGGAAACGAAATTTCTCAACCAAACGCCGTCCGCTATGATGGCAATGCCGCAGGCTTGGTGTGAATATCTTGTTAAACACGGAAGAAAATAAAGTAGAGTGGTATCAATTAAAGAGTGACATCGAGAACCAGACTGACGTCCGCAACAGTAGGACCAGCAAGATCCTCGAGAACCGGGATGAGATCGAGCAGTTCGTTGTCATGAGCGTCTGAGAACCAACTGCTGATAGGAACAGCGTGTTGTGGGTGGAAGATGTAGGATGTGGGCGAATTATCAATGATGATGGTGTCTTTGAGATCTCGTCCGACCTGGGAGAGATCCTTGACGTAGTTTCCTTGGTGGTTGTAGCAACTCTCTCTGAAAAGTCGGTGGTGTACGACCTTGTGGATATCCAGCTGGTCAAGGAGAGGGTCGCCGTACTAATTCAAGGCGTCAGTTACCATCTCGCGACAACGCGTCAACCAAAATCAACATACCTTAGAGACAGACGCCGTGAAAACAACAACCTCATAAAGCTCGCCGACTCTCCTCATAAACTCATCCACACCTGGGCGCTTGATAACATAGACATTGTGGTAGTTTCCTTCAATTTCAACGGGTATCGTAAAATCAGCTTGGTGCAAGATCTAGAGTATTCAGGTCAGCTGGAAAATCAGTCAACAGATATGATGTGATGATCTACCTTGAATGAACTGTGCACGAGGGTCTCGTCCAAATCCAGTACAAGACATTTTCTCCCCTTCAGCTCAGGTGTGATGGGAGGAAGAAGCCATTTATGGGGCTCTTCGGCCATGGCCGCAGACTCCTCCGGGCCGGAGGGGGTAGCAACATTGGTCTCAGGTACTGGAGGTGGAGGCGGTAATTGCTGAGTTGCGGTTTCCGTCTCCTCCACGCTTGTAACAGTCACCTGCGGCTCGTCCCTAGACGCGTCTTGCATTACGACATCGTCGGACTGGGCGCCATTTCCAACCTGCTTCACTTCTTCCTCCTGTTTCTGCGCAGCAGAAGAGTTGCCCGTGACGGGAGGGACCTTGGCTTGCGCCGCGGCGTCACCCTCTGCCGGGGTTATCTCATCGGCATCCTCAGAGACAGTGGGCTTCTGGGTCTTGTCCTGCTCAGTAGTCTGGGGCTCCTTTTCGGTCACCTGCTTTGTTGCGCCCTGCTCCTGCGATGTCGACGTCTTTGGCTTTGTCGCGGTGGCCGGCCGTTGCGGGAGCTTATCAAGTTTGTGGACGTTCTCATTCTCTCCATCAGCGCCAGGCCCAGAGTCAGGGGCACCGCAGCATCCAAGGAATGATAGAAAACCACCACTCTTCTTCTTCTTTTGCAGAGGTGAACTTGGCTGAGACATGCCGGGCGTCTGGGTAGGGTCGCTCTCGCCACCTGTGCGCTTGCTCGAAGCGCTACCGTTCCTTTGACGACCAAGAAAACTGCTTCGCGAATCTTTGGATCGCCCGCCGATGCTATTCCTAGCTTCTCCAATAGTGGCTCCGCTCAAGCCTGTAGATGATGATGGCTGGTTCTTTTGGGATGATGACCTCGAGGGTACTTGCAAAAGCCCGCGTTCCTTCTTGGATTCGTCCTCCTTCGTCACGCCGGAATCAATGGTCGGCTGATCGGCTACACCCACGTCAGTCGCTTTCGTAGGAGCCGGCTTTTCGGACATTCTAGTGATGGGACACAGAGGTTAGTTCCTGTCTTGACTCGTGTCCGGATTCATGATGAAAGATGCCCCTTTTCACGACCCGAGCACATTATCATCTGTAAACTCCCAGCAGAAAAAGGCCAAGATCGAAATCAATCAAACCCGGCAAATCTCGCATCAAACCGCCAGCTACATTGGACGGGCGACAGGTACTGGTACAGGTGATGAATTGGGCGTGGTTCGACTCACCTCTTGAGACCTCCGGGCCCTTCAGGCTTCAAGAGAAATCAGGCTCGACAGTTTGCCGTCGCAACACTCTTGGGCGAAGTAGATGCAAGCGATGCTCCAGGAATCCCAAGCTTGAAATGAGTGACGTCGCGATCAGATGCGCGGTCGAAAAGTGAAATGCGAGATGGTCGGGGAGGCGGTCGGCCGTGTCAGATTCGTCGCGCCACTGGGTTCAATGTGCGGGTACCTCCAAAAAGCAAAGCCGAGACAGTTGCTCAATCGATGAAATAAAATACAGAGTCGAAGGGGATCCAGTTGGGGTTCGTTGGTTGACAAAAAAATGACCGTAGACAAACGGTGCAGACGCGAGCTCCGTCGTCGTCGTGGTCGTGGTCGTCGTTGGGAAAGGATCGCTGACAAGGAGGAGGTCGGCGGTGCGCAACTGGACGGCAGAGGCTACACGGGCGACAGGTCCAGAAACAGAGCGCCTGCAGTACGTGCGGCGGCACCAACAGCGAGTGTTTAGGTATCTGGGGCCGGAAGCACAAGCGAAATGATGAGACTCTAGAACCTGATGGGCAATGGATAACCTAGACGGGGGGATGGGCTGCAAGCGCAGAACGCTTGAGCCTTGGGGGGATAGAGCGAGTGTGTGTGGAGATTTTTGTGAGATTAGCCAAGGAGCAGGGCGGCCCGCGAAGGAGATGCTGTGCTAGCAAATACAGTGTGGGCCAGCACTGTCCCCCTGCGGCTGGCGACGGCCGCCTCACACTGAGAGGGCGGAAGCAGCACTGTGTTTGTTATTGTCATAATCATCCCATGCCCGGTGCCAGGACCCAAGAAATTAGCTGAAGATTGTCTGTGAAGCCACCCTGCCACCCTATCGAGTCTAGCGACAGTAATAAAGGCTACCCCTGCTGGCCACAGAAGCCGCTCCCATCTTAGGACGGGGGGGTTAGTCCGGGTGGGTGCTGTGCTGCAACCTGCATCTCTCCCCTCCCACCCAGCCTTTCCAAGTGCCATGGCATCATGACAAGTAGCTGCTTTCCCTGGACAGCCAAAGGCAAAGGATCACATTCATCCCTCCACATCGAATCGGCCGGGTCCAATCATGCGGCATGCTTTCACTTGCCCAAGGCGACGCAACCGCCCCTTGACGCTAGATTGAAAGCTCGATCCCAGCACTCCCAGAGCTGTGGCGGCGATCCCACTTCTGCGCTCGCCGTGCATGTGAAGCCTCAGCGGTGATTGGTGCTGTTGGCGCCCATGTTTTCCCCCGTGGGTGCAATTACCATGCATATCAAACATTAAGCAAGCTCACCCATATTACTACATCGCGCTCAGAGCGCTGGCTCTCAAGTGGATGCTACCTAGCGTTGGTGATTGGGTCCAGGGTACCCGCAATCGTGCACGGGTACCTTCTGCACGTACCATGTATCACCAGCAGGCACTGACAGTAGCATCGCACACTTGTACCTACCAGTTACCACCAATTACCAGTCGGCAGCTTCCTTTTAACAGGTCCTTCCCTTCTAGCACACCCTGCCATCATGCCCGGGGCCTAATCGTGCCCCTAGCATTTACTAATAGTAAAAAGCCCTCAAATCAGGCCGACCTGAAGCTTTCAACACCTTCTCAATGTGCCGGAGCAATACCGTACGAAGTACACAGTACGGGCCTCCACTCCCAACTAGAAGCAGGTAGATTTAGGTTTGAAATGCCGATCGGGAGGCACACCTATCAAGCAGGCTGTCATGAGGACGGGAATGATTTTTCGGGCGACTCGGGCACAGGCAGCCTCAGTCCAGAGCGCACAGCAAGAGCTTCGTTGATGGACTGGCTCTTGAAATGGAGCAATGTCCGACATTAAAAATAGGTACCACATAAGCACTTCGCCCTGTTCTCGCGCTCCACCTAACAATGATCAATGAGGACGGAGGTCCGCTCCATCCCTAGCCTGCACGTGTGGCTGGTACGTGCGTGACTTTGTGGCGTCTGGCTCCAGCATGTCAAGTCCAGAG